TTCCCTCTCACCCCCAAATAGACCTCAGACATTGAGGAGTGGCTGTCTTCCTTCCCTGCAGGAAGTGGTGTTTCTTCCTAATTTAAAGGAAAGATCTTTTCAAAGCTGCTTGGGGTGTTATGGAACCTTCCCTATGAACGTCATGTGCTAGTAGCTACTTCTTTGCAGTAGACAGTCTTAGCAGGTAGCTAATCAAAACCTTTACATCAGTCAGCTTTGCAAGATTCACTGGACTTCTGCACTAAAGTTCATTATCACGTGTGTGTGTGTGTGCGTGACCAATCTGTTTCATAGGTATGGGGAGCAGAGGGAAGTCTTGTGTAGAGCTGCAAGCTGTGTTCAGTTACTTCACTTTCGAGAGGGCAAAATACCTTTGAAAAATTCTTTGAACCTAAATTACAAGAGGAGCAAGGCTTTAGGTATAACTGGTATCTGAAATTAAGCTTACTGGTGGGCAGAATCTTTTCAGGCAAAGAATGTTTAAACACTTTTTCACTGCTCTTTCCAAAAGTTACGGTATTGGACTGCCGTCAAACCAAACTGCCTAGAAAGCCAAAACCGTCCCTGCACAAAGTTAAACTGAGATCTCTGGTATGGTGCTCTGTCTTGAAAAAAGGGTAGATGCTTGATACCTAGAGGAGGAGATTCCATTTCCTTTACACAAACTTTCCTTGCAGTCTCCTTCATCAAACTGATGTTGAAGTTGTCATGGATACTTCTAACTGCAGTCTTTCTATGTTCCAGCATCATGCCTGTTGATGTAACTGTTGATGGTGCTGAGCTGGGAGGCCTTTGGGGAGTGAATGATTTGGGAGAAATATTCTTGTGGCATAAAGGACTGCTCTGTACAAGACTTAATCTTGTGAGTCTGGATGATTATGCTAAAGTGGCCCAGAGTAAAACTTCCTGTGCTTTCTGATGCTATCTGAAAAGGTGACACTTAAAGCTGTTTGCCATCAAAAAGCCTGTACAAATCTGTCTCTTCAGTAATATATCCCCTTTGCATGGTTCAGAGCATGGCTGTCTCCTAACCAGTTGTTCTTGTTGCATGTGCTGAAGCAACTGATGTGAACTGTTACTTCATACTCACTTTTTTTCCAATGGAGAGGTGCTACCACTATGTAAATTAGTGGTGTTGGACTTAATCATACAGATTTGCTGTGTTGCCTAGACTAAACTAAATGATTGAGGTGCAGCTTAACGTTGTTGGCACACAGGAGGTGATGAGGAACTCGCTTAAAATATCAATTGATTTACAGAGCTTAAGTTAGTGAAACCGTTGCTCAGGAATGAGTTTCTGAATGTGTCCCAGTAAGACAAGGGACAAATTCCACTCCTTGCCCCTTGAACCAGCCACTCTGGAGACTAACGAGTAGTGAAGCAACTGTGAACGGTGCTGTAGGTGCCTGGCTTGGTTGTGCTTTTTGGCAAAAACATTTGTTCTGTATTACCACAACTGTTATTTCCAGGAAAAAGTTGCTCTTGGATATCTGGCCATCTTACAGTGCAGATGTCCTTCTGAAGGCAGCATGTGTATTCCTGCAGCCACAGTTTGTATAATGTGCTTTAATCCATTCCATTTTGGCGCGCTCCGTGCTTTCAAATCTGATTTGTCTAGTTGCACTTCTATAGGGATAAAACTTGAAGCAGTCAGGCTAGACAGGCTTTCTGAAGTTGTGCTATGTTATGGGAAGCCTTTCCTGGATGATGTAAGGCGCAGCTGAAGCTTCTGATCACCCTGCCTATCTCAAACAACCGTAGCAATTTCCAAGGACCCTTTCAGGTAATGGTGAAAGCAAAACATTGCATCATGCTGAGACTGTGCCCAGCTGTAGGCTTCACTGAGATGTACAATGTCTCTCTTCTTAATTATGGCATGTCCCAGGTCAATTATATTTAAACACAGAGTCCAACCATGTCATTAAACTTTTTTGGCTAATGACAAGCCAGAAATCTAGTGAGGCATCATCCCAGAATGCTCTGCTTTGGGGAGTTGCTGTGTATGTTCCAGTAAAGCTGGCAGTGTGAGTTGTCTCTTGTGTAATCTGTCTGCCAGGAATATCCTCCTAGTTCAGCACTTTGAGAGCTGCTGTGAGATGGCCGCTTGTTTGTGTGTATTCCTGGATGGGGAGGGCTTACCTTACTAAGCAGACTGATGGAGTGGTTTTCTGAGTGTTGACAAATGTCTCAGCACTAGTCTGTTGCATGTTTATCTGGCTCTTGCTTTGGGTTTTTGCTTGTATAACCAGTGTTTGAGTTACATAGCTTCTGGCAGCTGCCTCAGAAATGAGAAGTGAACGCATCTTTCTAGAGACTGGCATGGGTTGGGTCAGGCAGAGTGCACGATGTTGGCTTATCTTTGATAGTTTCCAACAGTTTAAATGCGAGATGAAAGTAGCTTTCCATATTAACTCCTCATCGGTGGAAGGAGGGGGATCCATGCTTCCACTGCAGAAATCCTGGGCTGAAGTAAAACAACAAAGGTGTGCATGGTAATCAGCATAGCATTTGGATTCTGCAAATCTTGTATTGGATCCATGTTTCATAGCTGGCTTTCACGTGAGCTGCTTGTACCTTGTACTTTTGTGCTAGCTATCTGGTCCTCTCTGGGTGCTTGCCCAAAGCTCTAGCAGATGAAGCTTGATGCTACTAAAAAGCACGAGGAAAGGGCAGAAAACAGTCCTTCCCCACCCAAAAACCTCAGGATGGCAGATCAAGGTGACCCTCAGTAAAGCTAATGAGTCTGCATGGTAAAAATATTTAGAGGGACTTGTCTCAGAGGTACTGGGGTGGGCAGCAGACAAGAACAAGGTGCTTATAGATTCTTCTCTCTGGTTAGATGGTGCGAATGGCTTTGCAGAACACAAATTTTCTGTGTGGTTTGTTTCCAGTGGAAGCCCATGGTATACCACAGCATGGCCACTCTTCCTAATGTTTTCAGTGCTGTAAGAGCTGCCATCTCTTGCCCCCAGGTGTGAAGTGCTAGTAAATCCACTTAGAGCACTGTTGACCTACCCTTGATACACTTCTGTGACAACCTTCAGTGCCTCTGTTACTGTTACAGGACTGGACTTGAGCATGTCCAAAAACTTGTGTTATATAACACACTCACGATGATCCTGACTTTAGTCTCAGTGAAGAACAGCCCATACTAGGCAGACAAGAAATGCTAATGCTCTTTTCCTTTTCCTACTGGCTGGATTGCAAGCCATTTATGCCCAAACATTCTGGAGGTGTTCTGCCATGGTGTGACTCTGCTTCCTTTTTGTTAAGGGAGTTCCCTAGGAAACTGCTTTCCCTCTGGATACTTGGAGGGGAAGAGGGAATTGGAAGCTGAAGGGGGATGTGGTGGACTTGAGCAAGCCAAGGTGCTTGATTACCCTGGGATAGCAAGTTTGGATTTGTCTGGACTCTTCACCTCAACTGTTGCAGCAATTGGAGAAGAGAAATTGCATCTTCTGGCTATGTTGTTGGATTTGGAAAGGGTTTTTCCACAGCTTTTGTTATGTTTTAAGGGTTGTTGTTGTTCCCAGATCAAACTTGAATAGAAAACTTAAGGCTGCTGCCAGCTTTCTGTCACAGACACCTTTTATCTTGCATTCATCTCTTCCAAGCAGATGCTGCTTTCATTTCTTCTATTTTTTTGTTTTGCTACAAGCCTAAAATGAACAGCCTTTTGATGCAGGGGAAGAAATTGTATTTCAAAGCGAAGTACCTAGTTAACTTCAATGATAAAACTGTTGGTTTTATCTTAAAGGTAGTTCTGTGTTCCTTTGAAACAAATCTGAAGGTTGGAAGCTCCTGAACCCTGCTTGCTCTAAGTTAATGTGCAGATCCCTCTGTGCCTGGGAACATGAGTGAATCTTCTTTTTGGGTGGGAGGTATAGATGAAGCTCAGCTTCTCAAGGTGAGGCTGTACACAGGGAAGAGGGTGACAGACACTGATGTTGATGTACAGTGTTCCTGCAGGTTGTTTTCCTTCCAGCTGATTATAAGCTGCAGCGCGTGGCTAACGCTATCACAAAAGTGCCAACCACGTAGCTCAAGATGGAGCACAGCAGGGGGAAGGAGCTGAGGAGAACACAAGTCTTCAGACACTTCATTGTGGTAGTGAAGCAGTCTGTATCCTCTAGCCAGACAGTGTTGTCTTTCCCAGTCCGCCCTGCCCTCCCTTGCCTTCCTGCCTTCAAAGACTTGTACTGAGCATGAGGTTTGTATGAACATCCAGCTCTTGGCTTTCATCTTTTCCACTTAAAAAGATAAGCCCTGTTCCTGTAAGGTGCAATGCTTCCTAAAGGGTGATGTGGCTAAGCTGCATGCATTGGGAGGATTGTTTCCAAGGGGCATGCCGAAGCATGCCTGTCCTCATAGGGAGGGCAACCAATGGATAAGGCTGAGCCATAGCATTGCTCATGTAGCTGGTGATTTTGGGGAATGAAGAATTCCTAGACATAGGCCATGGCTGGCTTGGCTAGTGGTCAGGACATGGAAGAAAAGATGTTGCTGTTTTCATTTAGCATGTTAGAAGAACTACTTGATGTAGCAGGTACAGGTTATGGGTCTGAGATCTCATTTGGGAGTAGGGGCTAGAGGAAATACTTCCTAGAAAATGGTAGAAGCCAGATGCTTTTGGAGATGAATTGTAAAAGTTGTTTCTTTGAAAGTGGTAATGACTTACTGAGGGAGGCCACAGAAGGTTGGGGGGTTTTTTTTGCATATAGGCAGGTGCTGGAGGCATTGAAAAATCTGACAGGATTTTGGATTAGAAAGCCTAAGCTTGATTAAAGAACCTGTCATGATTTTGTGATGAGCTCCTGCTTTGGTTGCATATGCAGGGGTGTGACTTCTGAAAACATCCTTTTGCTAAGTGAACAGAATGGTTTCCTAAACACTATGGGGAAAAAAAATCACTTCCTCAGTGACTCAACTGTCTCTTCTTGTGAGGTTTTTGTCTCCAGTGGTGACACCTTCAGTCTCCACAGACCTCGGGGCAGGAAAGACCTGAATCTGTAGTTTAAGCTGTGAAAGATCTACTGGGTCTTTATACACAACGATGTAACTCCAGTCCTCTTTTTCAACACTTAACAAGTTCAGGATGAAGAGATCTGGGTCAGCATTGTAGAGGAATGCTGAGTTTTTCCATGTGGCAAGGTAAGACAAAAACACCTGTGAACTAAATCTGTTTATATTGCTTAGAGTAATCCACTGTCCAGTAAGAAGGCACTAACAGCTTGTACAAGAGGCTGAACTGCATTTGCTTTTTTGGGCTTTATTTAACCTGAGGATTAATACTAAATTCAACCTGAAACTGGCTGATTAAGAAACTAGAACAACTTAAACAGGGAGGAAGATGCATAAGCCTAAGTATAAGGAGCACTATTGTCACCGTGAAGCTTGTCAAGCATTGGAGCAGGTTGCTCCAAGGTTGTACAGTTTCTGGTTTTGAAGGTTTGCAAGAGTAAACTGGATGAAGCTCTAAATAACTAGTCTGGCCCCTGCTTTGAGGAGGAGATTGGACTAGAGACCTCCTGAAGTCCTTTCCAGCCTGAATTAGTCTATGATTCTATGAAATAAGCTTGTATAGGCATCTTACGGTGATATTATCAGAGTTGAATTCTGGAAGCAGATAGGCTGCTTTATCAGTTTATAGACAACAAGACTTATCTCCTGCATAGCCAGGCTAGAATCTGGGGGTTTTGGGGTTTTTTCCTAGCTTGTTTAAGAAACTCTCATAACAAATTTCTATCCTACAGATTGCCCTGAAACAAGGAAGAGATTAATTACTTGTTTCAAGTCTCAGAATCGCTACTAAAGCTTCTTTAATTAATCATTAGTATAAAAAAGCTTTTTTCCAGTCTTGTGTCTATGTCAAAGGTGAGCTACAAACCAAAACTTGACTCTGGTTTAACTTCACAACTACCCCCTATCCTGCAGTATTGCTGAATACCGGCAGTGGCAAGTCCTTCTGCTTTGACAATAGTATTGTTCCCTTTAGAGCAGGCTGTCCTTGCAATGATACCCATGTTTCTAGGCTCTCGAAGCAGCCACATAAGCTTGCTTTATCTTCTTCCTCTGAGCCCATCCATCCATATATCAGGAGGTTTTCTACAGTCATCATATAGGGGTTTATTTTGTCATACCAATTGGCAGTACTTGGTACAATGCTATGCCTCTGAATCATTAGAAGGTGGTAGGAGAGACAAAACTGAGGGATCCTTTCTCAGGGAGCAGTGAGGGACTAAGCTTGAAGAAAGCTGATGGTACACTGGCCATTCATAGGAAGGAGCAGCATCCTGAATCGTGTCCTTAAAAGGTGTGGGATGTGGGGGAATGATTAACAAGGGAAACCATCTTTCTGCTCAGTATTGTAGGAACAAGCTCGTATCCCTTGCATCTGCAGGATGACAGATCTGACTTGCAAGGTGTAATTAAGATCAGTCAAATATAGCTTGGGAAGAAGTTTTTCTTTCCAAGCAATCCTGCCCAAGGCCTTAGCAGCCATGCTGTCTACCTTCCAGGCTTGTTACGTGACCTTCAGTAAGACAAGATATAAAACAAGTTACCAAAATGCAGTGCTGCTAGCTTGGTGCTTAGTTTGACTGTTTGATGTCAGCCCTTCTCTAAAGAGGGCCATGACTATCATGATGGGCCAAAGGAGCACAATTAACTTAATCTCTTGATCTGGTGGTGAAAAGGTAGAGGCGAAACCAGCTGTACAGCTGAGGCAGGCTGCTGGTGACAAGGTGCTGCTAGGAGCAGGTTTTGAGCTGGTGGAAGGAAAGAGCTTGGAGTTGTGCTTGTTACACTGCATCCTTCTCTACACTTTTTTTTACTTAAAGCTCCGCATAGATTGGGTTACGCTGTAGCACTGGTCACACATGGAAAGACACAGTGGCTATGCAGAGGTCCTTAACTGCATTAAGCTCCAGGGTTATAGAATGAGTTTTCTTATGTCTCATGACTTGATTGTCATGGTATCTGATCAGGTGGAAAAGAGTCAGTCAGGAAACTCGTTAGCTCCTGCCTGAGGGTCTTGCTTATTTCCTCCCTGAAAAATAGCAGCAAGCATGCGTAGTTGGGGGGGAGTCTTTCTACATCCATCCCCCTGACCGCTGGGATGCTGTGACAGCAGAGGTCCACACAGTGACTAAATGCAGACTGTAAAAGGGAGGATGAAAGTGATGAACTTGGAAGATGGAGCAGGATTGTTGAATGTGAGGAAAGGATGCCAGCTGAGTTGCTGAGGATGTAAATGTAAATTGTAAAACTGGAAGAGAAAGAAAAGCTAACTTTTGCTTCCTTAAATGTCAGGGACAAAGCAGCTTTTTGTGAGGAGGAACTGAATGCTGTCCTGCTGGGTATCCAGTGTGCTGGGCCTTGGAATTTCCTACTTGGTAGCAGGGAGTTTGTGGGGCATTCTCTGTGGTCCTGTGTTCACCTTTTGCCCCAATTCTCTTCCCATGATGCAGCGATGAGAAGTGTGCAATACTTAACATTGACCTACTCGTACAAAAAGCACTTTCTCCTAGTTGGTAGTGGTGTCACTGCCCATCTAAATGGGGGAAACGCAGACCCAAGGAAGCGATGTGCTGAAGCCGCCCAAGCTGAGCGGCAGTGAAGCAGGGATGGAACATAACTTCAGTTCTGCACCCTAAGGCCCTGATTTTGCTGTGCTGCTTTGCCCTCTTTTGCAGAGAACAGTATTCTGTTTGTGGTGCTGTAAGAATCTAATGCTCTGCTCAGAGGGAGCAGAGACACTGTTGTAATGGACCAAGAATTACTTGTTTCGGGTACGTGACCCAGATTTCAACTATGCTTTTTCTGTAGTGCTGATGAGCGGTACCAGACACTTGCACAACTTCCCTTCTGGCATAGATGTATTTGATGTAGATACATGTACTGAAGCTTCAGACACAATAAACCTATTGGAGGGCAACAGGCTGAGTAATCTGGTGCTTGGCAGCTGCTCTGTTGTGGGGATTTTTGCTTTACTGTTAGCGGTGCCTGTGACATCTTTAAATGAAAAGAGGAAGGAGGAGGCAGTAGCTGGGCAGCCTTAATATTAAAATAGCTCAAACTGCAAGTGGTTTTCCTGAGAGGAGGAATCCTGCTGGATTCTATGTGTCTCCTGACAGAGTATACTGTATTGCTTTTTAAGACCAAGGATTGAAATCCTCACAATCTGCTGCGTACCTTAATTTTTCAACCCATCTATTTGAGAAAACGCCACTTCTCAGGTCTATAATACCCAACTCTGTGTGACTCTAATACAGTAAGGGCTCAGTTCCTGTTCTCGTGCAGGTATTAGTACTAGGTTGCTTCTTTCAACTCGTGATGAGCTCTCTGTGTTTAGGGAGGTGTTGTGCATTGTTTTATTCCACCCACTGAAAGCAGTACAGCAGCTGTCCTGGAAAAAACTAGGACTTCTAAACTGGCACTTCCAGCAATTGGGATGCTGTGGTTTTACTCTTAAGCCTATGACAAGCCCAACCATGTTGCTTCCCCCATTCCTTCAAACACATAGCATGTGAGAGGCTTTCTAATGGTTTGCTTCTGTGTGAAGGATAGCTAAAATAGGAGGCTGACCTCCCGTGAACTGGGAGAGGATAGCACAAGATGCAGCTGTACAAGTGTCTTTGTCTCCTTCCTAGGAGGCAGCAGGGCAGAGCAAGGAGTTTTGGTAGGTGACTGAGAACTTTAACATGGATTTCTTTTAATGTAGCTGTTGCTAGCATTAAACCACAGTGATTCACTGTTAACTGTTTCAAGGGGAAAGCAGTGCTTTGTGATCAAAACCTTTGTCCTGGTGGCTTGTTTTGTTGCCCAATCTTGCAGTCATGGCAAAAAAGAGCTTTTTATACCGGAATGGAAGCTCTGGACAGAAGTAAACACATCAAACTTCATCCTTTCCACCTATTGCTGCCTTCCCCATGTACTGATTATCAGACAAAACTAACGAGTCAAGATACTTAAATGGACACGAGGGATGGACAGTGAGCTATGTAGGCTGCAAATTTGTAAGTGGGGAAATAACTAAAAGCAAGGAGTTCTTGTGCAAGAGGGTGGTTTATTATAGATTATCTGAGCTTCTATAATGCAAATAGCTCTGAATGTAAACATCTACTATTTCAAACTTGCAGTGGCTTAATTGTGGAGGAAATGCCTTTCTAAATACAGCCTATCTTGGGATGTTAGGGGTCCAGTGCTGGAGGGAAGGAAGGAGAAAGATTAGGCAGGCATAGCAACTTGCCCAGGTGCTGACTTTATTTTTCAAACGCGAATGCTGAACAGTTTACTACTCTGCCTGTTGAATGGTTTCTGGAGGGTAGTGGCTGTCAAAGTAATTGCTGCTTGCTTCTGCTCCTCTTGTGAGCTGGGGCAAATGCCTGTAGCACAGGGCAGTGAAACATCTTAAGGAACAATATCATCTGGATTGGTTCCCCAGTTCAATCTTCACTGTGACTGCATAATGCTGTGTTGGTACAGCAGTGTGAGGGAGTGGGGTGGGAAGGGCTGGGGGAAGAGAAAACAGTAACTAATAGTCTGTGGTTCTCATTGCGCTGGAACGAGGCCTGACCTGATGTTCATCCTCTGGTCCAGCCAATAACTACAGTGGAAGGGCAGACTGTCCTGCTTCCCCTGCTTCTCCCCACTTCCGGATCAGCTTCCAACCAAAGCTTCTGAGTAGCTGACCAGCCTAGTCACTGTGTTAGAAATACTTCCGAATAGGAAGCTAAAGCAGACCAGTGCTGTAGTTTAACTTTGTCAGGGTAGGTACCTCTTCAGTCCTTCATTCCTGTTCGTTTTCCTGATGGTACTCAGACCATTCTCTGACAACTTTGCAATTTAGATTTTTAAGGCATGGCTCAAAGGTAGACTTTCTAAATGGTGGTTCTTCTCTTGACTTCTTATGAGGATGGACTAAGAGCCCTGGAAGACCCTGGGACTTCTTCCTGAGTAGCCATCTAACCTGCGGCCCTGAAGGTAAGCTCATTTGAGACACTTCTGTGCTGGCTGCATTAGCACTTGGCTGTCTTGGGAGTTGCTAAGCATTTTGTACAGATAAAATGACAGCCCTGTTCTCTGAAAGAGTTTGTATTTAAAGGCAATACAATATGGTATCTGAACAGAAGCCTCAATACAATCCTTGG